TTAAATTTCAGTCCCGAAGGAAAATTGAATACTAAGAGAATATATTATATTGAATAATATATTATTAGCTAGACCTCTATCAGACGCAAATGCACAAAACTGCAAGTTGTTGCCTGTTGACTTGCGTACATATCAAATCGCAATGTGATATAAAACGATTACTTCTATGCTCAAAATAGTAAGTTTAATAACAATTTTGCAGATCAATCGCTTTGGCCTATCTGACAAGACCATGGAGTCCGAAGCATTTCATAAATTTGCTCAAGTTGCTTCAACTACAGGAGCAGATATAGTGGAGTTTAGCGACTGTAATCTGACAAGTGAAAAAATGAATGCATTTGCACAGGGAGCCACTGATTTCGGTTTGAAAGTAAGAAGTTAGAATATTGTTGATGAATATTTTTGAATAATTATTCAATGTTCAAAATAAATCTTACTGAATAGTGCATTTTATTTATACGCGAGATTTAAACTTGTATTTATTGCAATATGAAATGCAAGGTGGAAAAAAGACTAGGGACTCATTAATGAGTTTTTGTATCCAGAAATATTTGCTTGATTAAATTATAATTATGTAGAAATGTGTTCTGAAATTTTATCGTTTAAAATATCACGCCATTTAAGAAGACTAAGAATCCGTTTACGATAATGCGTTTTTTGTATTCAGAAAGATTTGTGTAATTAAATTATAATTATGTTGAAAGGTATTCTAAAATTCTATAAGGTAAAAAGTACGTTATGCAATTTATCTGAAATTCTATCAGTTGAAAATCTGTGTTACTCAATGTGACAAAGCATTCTAGGGTAACCACTTGTTCTACTTGGAAGTCATGGCCCATGCTCTTGCATAATAACCCGAATAGCTTTTAGCGGCTGTACTATTTTATTGGATAATTGTTCTATATTGTCTTGAAATCATTTCAATCAGATTACTTATTTGCTCAGAAAAGCTGCTAGAATAAATGTATAAATTATTATTTTTTTATCAAAATAACCAAATTTTTGAGTATGTGCTAACATGCGCAGTATATACATCGTTTTCCTAGCTTAAATAAACATTTCTAATATTTTCATCATCACCTAGAAAATTTGTCCTACAAGGAGAGAGTGCGGAACGTCGTAATCGCGCCGTGAAACAAACAAGCCTCGTAATTGGAGGTAAAAAATGGAAGATCGTTTAAACCAGGGATGTCCAACCTGCGGCCCGTGGGCCGCATTGCGGCCCACTTAATGTTTGGATGCGGCCCACTAACGAATCATTAAAAAATTTTTTTTTAGCAAATTTATGAAGTAATGAGCACGAGAGTCTTCATGTAATTTAGTCAAAATATATTTATTGTAATTTAGTCAAAAAATACTTTATATTTAATAAATAAAATAATTGTAGCGACCAAATTGAAACTCCCGTATGTATTTTTTCTCGCGCTCTGGTGCGCCGCCACCAGCTACTCGCCATGCCGTTCGCAAGTCTTTGTTCTCGACAGTGTTGTTTTGGCTGTGGCGGTGTGCAGACTATATCTCTCAAAAGTAAGTGCTTAATCATTTAAATTTTCTTTATTGTTGAAATAAATGCATTTTCAGTAAACTACGGCTCAGTACACCTATTAATGGTTAATTTCTTTTTCAGAGAACTATAATCTTAAGTAATGAAAATTTTATATTTATATGGCCATGGAATCTATTACTAAAAAAAGGAAAATAGCAGAAGAAAAGAGGAAATTTAATATCCAATGGACGGAAAAATATTTTGTGACCGAGTTATTTGGCAATATAACATGTCTTATATGTAATGATAAGATTAGCGTATGCAAGGAATACAATGTCAGACGTCATTATGTTTCGAAACATGAGTCAGAATATCAGACATTTAATGAAGAAAGAAGAAAAACGAAAATTGAAGAATTGACAAAGGCAATTAGCTCACAACAAGCTAATCTTCAAAAACATATTGTTAAAAGTGGAACATGTACAAAAGTTAGTTACCTTATAGCTGAGAAATTAGCTAAGAAAGGAAAACCTCTTATTGATGGAGAATTAATAAAAGAATGCATTGTTATTGCTTTTAATGAGTACTGTCCAGACAAGGTGAATTTAGTAAAGGAAGCATGTCTATCACATCAGACAATTGGCAGAAGAATTGATGACTTGGGTGATAATATTGAAGGCATACTGAAGGACAAATTATCTGCATGCGTTCTTTACAGTTTAGCGTTGGATGAAAGTATTGACCAAAGTGATACTGCACAATTAGTTATTTTCATTAGAGGAATTGATGAAAATTTCAATATTATTGAAGAAATGTTGGACTTGTGTCACATAAAGGGCACAACAAGAGGCAAGGACATATATGAGATTGTTAATTTGTCATTAGATAAATTCAATATTGATAGGAAAAACATTTATTCAATTACAACTGATGGTGCTCCTGCCCTGACTGGTCAACACAATGGTTTTATTAGTTTATTTAAAGAATCTGTTGATCATGAGATTCTCAGTTACCATTGCTTGATACATCAACAACAATTATGTGCTCAAAAGCTAAATATGAAACATTTGATGACTGATTTTGTCAAGGCTGTTAATTTCATCAGATCACGGGGTTTAAATCATCGCGAATTTAAAGCATTCTTGGACGAAGTTGGCAGTGAATATGAAGACGTAGTATATTTCTCAAAAGTTAGATGGCTCAGTAAAGCAGCAACCTTAAAAAGATTTCAGTTATTGTTGCCTGAAATAAAAGTGTTCTTGGAAAAAAAGAAGCAAAATGTGGATTTTTTAGAAAATGAAGAATGGTTGAATGATTTATCTTTCTTTGTAGACATCACCAAAGTATTAGCTGAACTAAATTTGCATTTACAAGGAAAGGACCAATTATGTTCCTCAATGTTTGAGCGAATAACTAGTTTCACAAAGAAATTGGAACTTTTTATAGCACAGCTAAAAGCTGGTAAAATTGTACACTTCCGTAGTCTATCTGAAAGAGAAAAAAAGTTTTCTGTAAACTATGAAAAATATACTAAATTATGTGAGGATTTGCTTGGGGAGTTTACGATTAGATTTTCTGACTTTAGAAAGATTGAAATTGAGTTAAAATTGTTTAGTGATCCATTTTCATTTGAATATGATAAAGCACCAGTGGAGTACCAACTTGAACTGATTGAGCTGCAAAGTCGGGAAGGTTTAAAAACTTTTCACAGGGAGAACACACTTCCTTCATTTTATAAGAAATTGCATTCTCTCAAAAATGAATTCAATCAAATTCTAAATTTATCCAGAAAATTATTATGTATGTGGGGAAGTACATACTCTTGCGAGCAGTTTTTTTCAAGCATGAAAAACATTAAAACTGCAGAAAGAAACAGGTTGACTGATAGACATTTAGCAAACATTCTTAGAATTAAGAATGCATCCTTCGATGCAAATATTGAAAACATTATGGCTGGAAGACAAAGTCAAAAGTCTCATTGATTTAATATTGATTAATTAAATTTAATGTGTTTTTTATGTATAGCTACATATAAACATTACAATATTTACAACGTTGTAATAATGTAAATAAACTGTATTCACGTGGTTTTGGTTTATATTGTAATTTTTCCATTAAATTGTATTAAGAGGTGGTTTTGCGGCCCAGTTAAATATTTAAGTTTGCAATGCGGCCCATTGAATTAAAAGGTTGGACTTTAAACTATGAGTGTTATAAGAAGAGCAAAATTTATCGCCCGAAATTTTGTGCCTCGTGTTTTGTACAAAACAGTGCGCGGTACAATGCATTACAGTGTAGTTTCGTTTTTCTAAATTATTTTATCGAGTAGTATTTTACAGTACAGTGCAATAAGTGCAATTCCGTTTTTCTAAATTTTTCAAACGAATTTGTCTGAACGAAAATTTGGAAAGATCGGCCTGAAGAAACAAATATTGAAAATGCAAATTTGGGACATTGGATTTTCCTAAGCAGAGAAATAGATATGCCACATACCTAATAAAATTTATGAATTTAAAGGCATAGCACACATTTTATACAAAATTAATTACAATTAATACTCACTGAGATTGCACTATCATACGTGAGATATATAAGAAATATATTTTGCGTTCAGTTACAATAGTGCCATCTTGAAGTTTATCAAAGTTGATCAAAGATCAAAGTTGAAGCCTTTTAAAAATAACGTTGATGCGTATAATTCAGCAGGCTAAGATTTATCTAGAAATTTGTCCTATTAAAATAGTGGAAAGTAGACAGGGGTGCACATAATTCATTGCTCAATATTTTGACAAAATGAAGTACTTCGGCTTCCATGAGCATAGAAATACTTTGAATAAACTTTGGTAGGGACAACATTTCCAAACCAATTTTCAATCGGATTAAGTGTCGTCATGTTAATCAAAGCTAGTGCAGGTTCAAGATTTCGGTATTTTTAAATTAAGTTCTCTATTAAAAACGAGTTGTCAAACTATATGCCAAATTTCTGCAGTTCATTTTTTCTTGATTTTCAGGAAACTTGTACTGCAATTTGGAGCCGCAGTATTGGTAGAAATATTTCAGTGACCAAATGGCTCAAACGATCCAAGAACATCACGTGCAGCAATCAAGCGTGTAATTAGGCCCATTTTAATGATCAAACATGTACTAAAGATCACAAACAAAATTTTTACACACACTGAAAAAAAAGAGAGAATGAAAAACAAAGAAGAAACCGGTGTCGGAAATGGGAGTGAAGTCAAATTAGACGACTGTCAGGGAGTCCAAACCTGGACCTCCTGATACAACCTTGCGTGAAACTAACACTTGTAATTTGTGATGCTCAGTATAGTACACCCTGAGTGAGGTAAAGAGAATCGGTGGCATTTAGACCCGAGATTTTTGCCAACGATTTAATTGAATGCAAAGCTGCATGGTTGTTGGTAAAAGAAAAAAGTGAATGAATACTTGTTCACTCAAAACAGTATCTTTATTATTCATTTTGCAGATCAATCGAATTTGCCTATCTGACAAGACCATGGAGTCCGAAACATTTCATAAATTTGCTCAAGTTGCCTCAAGCACAGGAGCAGATGATGTGGAGTTTAGCGACTGTAATCTGACAAGTGAAAAACTGAATGCATTTGCACAGGGAGCCATCAAACTTGGTTTGAAAGTAAGAAGTTGGAATATCGTTCATGAATATTTTTCAATATTTATTCAATGTTCAAAAGAAATCTTACTGATTAGTGCATTTTCTTTACACGCGATCTTTGAACGTGTATTTATTGAAATATGAAATGCAAGGTGGAAAATAGACTAGGGACTCAATAATGAGTTTTTATATTCAGAAATATTTGCTTGATTAAATAAAATTAAGTTGAAAATGTGTTCTGAAATTTTATCAGGTAAAAGATTACGCCATTGAAGAAGACTAAGAATTCTTTTACGATAATGCCTTTTTGTATTCAGAAAGATGTGTGTGATTAAATTATAATTATGTTGAAAATGTATTCTAAAAATCAATAAGGTAAAAAGTACGTTATTCGATTTTACTGAAATTCTATCAGCTAAAATCTGTGTTATTAAATGTGACAAAGCATTCTAAAGTAACCACCTGATCTACATGGAAGTCATGGCCATGCTCTTGCATAATAACCACGACTATCTTTTATCGTAACCCGTTTTTTCATATTCGTGATTGAACGTAATTGTGTGCGGTTTGCATTGCGACTGTGTTATTTTATTGGATAATTGTGCTATATTGCCTTGAAATCATTCTAATCAGATTATTTATTTGCTCAGAAAAACTGCTAAAATAAAATGTAAAAATTCTTTATTTTTCTTATTATTAAAATAACCAAATTTTGAGTATGTGCTAACATGTAGCGCAGTACATACATCGTTTTCCTAGCTTAAAATGAACATTTTCAATAATTTCATCATCACCTAGAAAATTTGTCCTACATGGAGAGAGTGCTGTGAAACAAACAAGCTTCGTAATTGGACGCAAAGAATGGCAGATCGTTTAAACTATGAGTGTTATAAGACGAATGAAATTTATCGCCCGAAATTCCATGTCTCGTGTTTTGTGCAACACAGTGCGCGGTACAGTGCAATACAGTGTAGTTTCGTTTTACCAAATCATTGTATCAAGTAGTATTGCACTGTACAGTGAAATAAGTGAAATTTCGTTTTTCTAAATTTTTCAAACCAATTTGTCTGAACGAAAATTTGGAAAGATCGGCCTGAAAAATCATATCTATATAGAAAATGCAAATTTGGGACATCGGATATTCCTAAGCAGAAAAATAGATATGCCACATTCTTAATAAAATTAATGAATTTAAAGCCATATAACACATTTTATACAAGATTAATTACAATTAATACTCACTGAGATTGCACTATCATACGTGAGATATATAAGAAATATATTTTGCGTTCAGGTACAATATTTTCTTTTGGAGTTTATTAAAGATCAGTTTATTAACTTGTAAATATTTCCATAATTTTCAAAATTTTAAGCCTTTTGAAAATAACATTGATGCGTATAATTTAGCAGGCTGAGATTTATCTAGAAATTTGTCCTATGAAAATAGTGAAAGAAAAGTAGACAGTGGCACACATAATTCATTGCTCATTACCAAATATCTGCAGTTCATTTTTAGTTTATTTTCTTCAAACTTGTACTAGAATTTGATGTCGCAGTATTGGTATATCTATTTCAGGTATCAAATGGCTCAACGACCCAAGAACATTACGTGCAGCAATCAAGCGTGTAATTAGGCCCATGTTAATTGTAAAAATGTACTAAATATCACAAACAAAATTTATACACACACTGGAAAAATAAAAATAAAAAAAAAAAAAAAAGAAACCATTGTCGGAAATGGTAGTGAAGTCAAATTAGACGACTGACAGGGAGTCCAAACCTGGACCTCCTAATACAATTTTGCATAAAACTAACAATTGTAATTTTTATAATATTCACACTTGTAATATCACTCATTTTAGACCTTCTTGTGTGTTTATACGACGTATTTATGCGTCTATGAATCCCAATAAAACTCTTCACAAGTTTAGGAGATACTAGAGATGAGAAGGACCTGTTTTTATTTCGGTTGGACATTGGCTGCATGCTCAGTATAGTACACTCTGGGTGGAGTCGAGAGAATGTATGGCATTTAGACCTGAGATTTTTGCCCGATTGAATGCGAAGCTGGATGTTGGTAATGAAAAAACAAGTGAATGAATACTTGTTTACTCAAAACAGTATGTTTAATATTCATTTTGCAGATCAATCAATTTTTCCTATCAGACAAGACTATGGAGTCCAAAACATTTCATAAATTTGCTCAAGTTGCTTCAACTACAGGTTCGAATACGGTGAAGATTTGCAACTGTAATCTGACGAGTGAAAAAATCAATGCTTTTGCACAAGGAGCAACTGATTCCGGTTTGAAAGTAAGAAGTTAGAATATCGTTGATGAATCTTTTTTAATAATTATTCAATGTTCAACATAAATCTTACTGAATAGTGCATTTTATTTATACGCGATATTTAAACTTGTATTTATTGAAATATGAAATGCAAGGTGGAAAAAAAACTAGGGACTCATTAATGAGTTTTTGTATTCAGAAATATTTGCTTGATTAAATTATAATTAAATTGAAAATGTGTTCTGAAATTCTTTAAAATATTACGCAATTTAATTTTGCCTTTCTTATAGTTAATGAAATGCTGTCCAATCGCACTACATCTTCAACTCAATAATTTTAAATTTCTAAAATCTTTGAGAAACAAATTTTTAAGTACAAAAGTATTTTGACTATATATCAAATTATATTCAAGAAAATTGAAATTTTAACAACGCATCAGACAATTGGATTTTATTTACAAAAAATTTCCCAACTAGAAATTCGGTTTCCTAATGTATGGGTAAACGTCGAGACAACTCCGAGATTAAACCGACATCAGTGAAACCGGGAAATTTTAGCGGAAAAATGATTTTCAAACAGAAGGTCAACATTTATATTGCTTATATATCGTCTTTTGATGATATCTTGTCGATTACCCCGTCTCCAGAAATATATAAAAATTACATTATCCGAATCATAGACCAATTGTTCAATCAAGCAAAGTAGATGGTAAAAATCGAGCATTGTTAACTATTATCAAATATTTCCTCAAATGGGATCGGAAATATAAATATAAGTAGGCTATACAGTTCATAGCATGAGTTTTATTATGCAAAGCAAACCGGATCCAGTTGCAAAATAGGTTTGAGGATTTTAAAATTGAAATATATATAACATTTTTGTTTTTTTGAAAAAAGAGTTTTACATTTTTTTAGTGTTTATCAAGGTATTACTATAGAATTTTAAGTCTATCTGTCCCTCTATCTGTCTGTCTGTCTATATATCTGTCTGTTTCTACTTCATAAACTGTAGAAGCCTTAGGGATTTTAATGAACATTATTTTTTTCATTTTTACCCACCGCATATCGCATATCTGTCACGCAAGTATGTCAACAAAACGAGCATCGCTCAAAATGAACTGGCCCTTTTGACAATCAGATTACTTACTCAATCGCGCCGCCGTTGCAAATCCTCAAGTTTCAATGGATGACAAGCAGTTGCATGAGTGCGGGCCTCAACTGTTAGCGGAGATCTTGTTAGAAGCTGTGAGAATAGGATTTAAATCAAGGATTGGTTAGTAGACAGACGATGACGAAAAACGTGGTTATACATAAATTAATCCAGTTAGTGTTGAAAAAGAAAACAAAAAGAAAGATAGAAACGGCCTCGACTCAACGAAAGCATGGTTTATAATACGGAACAAATTGTTTACATCAATTTTCCACTATTTATTGTTGCGTCGTAATAGGCTCTATACGGTTGCAGGTGGTTTTCTTCGATCTGTGTTAATGGATGGAAATCTAAATTAATCACGTTTGAGTTTGCAGTAAGGTCGTTTTCATTACTATTCATAATCCATTAGGATGTCGCTATTTCGGCGCAATTGGCAATAACATCTCTTTTACTTCAAAGACCGTTATCCAAGGGTATAAATGTTTGCGGGTGCAAAAGTGCACCATGGGTGCAAGTGTCCATAGAAGCAAATATCTGTGGGTGCAAATGGTAATGGTTGCAAATGTACGTGGGTGCAATTTTAGGTTGGAGCAAGTCTACGCGGGTGCAAATATCCGTGGGTGCAAATGAACCAGGTGCAAATATACGTGGGTGCTATTTTAGGTTGGAATAAATCTACGCGGGTGTAAATGTTCGTGAGTGCAAATGTCGGGTAGATGTAAATTTCCGTGGGTGCCGATGCTCATTGATGCAATCTGTATGTGCACCGGGATCATTTATTGTAACCCATGGGTTCAATAATCTGCGGGTGTCAATGTATGTGTGCAATTATTCATGGGTGCAAATGTACGTAGTTGCAAATGTCTGTGGGTGCAATTGTCCTGGTTGCAAATGTCCGTGTGAGCAAATGTACATGGGTGCAATTGTCTTTGGTTGCAAATGTCCATGGGTGCAAATGTACGTAGTTGCAAATGTCTGTGGGTGCAAAAGTTTGTGGGTGCAAATGTCAGCAGGTGGTAGTCATCAGAACTATTTAAAAAACCGACATTTGTCATGTGTTTTTGGCGTCGTATCGTTTACTTATAACATAAGTATATTGTTCGGCTATGTCGGATAGAACAACAAGATGTACGCGACAGGGAATTGTTTTTAAATGTGCAGATATGCTACTAATTTTAATGAAAGAAAAGTAAAACCATTGTTAAATATTGTTGAAATCGTGTGACTGTTTAGCATAGTTTAAAAACGCTTTTTTTACTCCGAGTACACGTTCTAATATAATCATATTTGCCCATGCATTTGCTTTCAAAGTAATAAAAACTAATTGTTAAATTGAATTTAATAGTTTCATATTTATTTTGCAGATCAATACTTTAAGCCTAATTGACGGGACCGTGGAGTTCGAAGCATTTCATATATTTGCACAAGTTGCCTCAACTGTTGAAACAAGTGAAGTGCAGTTTATCGAATCTAATCTGACAAATGAAAAACTGAAGGCATTTGCACAAGGAGCAACTGATTTCAATTTGAAAGTAAGAACTTGGAATATCATAGTATAACCCGCGAAGCCATGTACATTTGAACTCACGAACATTTGCACACAATGACGTTTGCACCCACGTACATTTTCACTAATGGACATTTTCACCCACTTACATTTCTACCAATGAACATCTATCTGCATTCACGGACTTTTGTACCCATGACATTCTCACGCATAGGCATGTGCCTCATAAGCGCACTCATAGTCGTGTTCGCGAATAATCGTGTTTCACACAAACTTCAATTACCAACTATAAATAAATATTCGAAATAAAAACTGATTGCAAATTTTAAGTAGTCCTATTCTTGATGAGGGTCGCTACGTTGTTACTTTATTCCTATAGTTATAAACTTTTCCCACTTCTATGGATCATTTTCTTTCGATGAAATAACGCAAATGTAGCCGAATGTGCGCGGTGGTTAGTAGACGATTGGGAAGAAAAGTGGTCGTATATGAATTAATTGTGCAAAACAAGAAAGAGGTGCTTCGAGAAAAACGGTTAGATGGGAGAAAAACAGAAAGCGAGAAACGACTTCTACTCGACGAAAGCATGATTTTGGAACAATTTGTTTACAGCAGGGTCGAACTTTTGCAACCTTTTGAAATTTTCGGAAAACTAAAAAAATCCAAATGCGCACAAAATTTACGCAGGAGTTTTTTATTATAATCGCCTAGTGTTTTCTCAAGCGTTAGGTGATTATTTATTCTACATCATCTTTATATCGGTTATTTTGTAAAACAAAGTATATCCTTTGTGTGCGACGAATCCACGATAATCAGTTTTTCTCGCAGTACCGTGCTTTCGGTGAGAGAAACGCGTTACCACGCGAGCCGCGGCGATTTGAAGGTGATAAATGTAGTTAATACGCAACCGGAGTTAATCAGTTTTTCTCGCATTACTGTGTATTCCGTGAGAGAAACGCGTTACAACGCGAGCCTCGACGATTCGAAGGTAATAAATGTAGTTAATACGCAACCTTGGTCTGACTGTCAATCAACAAATGTTAATACTATACGCTAACTTGACGCTTCCTAACCTTACCGACTGTAATCACATTCTGGTATCTGCTGTAAAACTAACTCCCTAATTTTGAAGTGAACAATATAATTATACTGTCACCGACAATATAACGAGATCGTCACTGATTTCCATAGGACGAAAATACGCCCGAGTATAATATTTAACTTTTGGCGAACTCGAATGCAACTCGACACAATTTATTACACACGCAATGGTTTTTATTTTTCAAGTTTTTTTCAATTTCCGACGGGACCGCATATCTTTTTTCAGATCATTATCATATTTGAAATTATCGATTTAAAGCATTTAAATTGTAACGAAAACATGATCCTATTTGGAAAAAAACAATTGATGATAGTTAAAGAATTTACTAGTAAAATCATGGGATTATTACATTAGTAAGGTTACGTAGCAAAGCGATAGAATCGGATAAATGTCACGAAACAGCCTATAATCGAGACATTCACGACCGAATGAAAATCAGACATGATCGAGCAATTTGTCACACATGTTTGCGCTGGCCAATTTAGGAATAGTACCGTCGTCTAACATGGCGCGCCTATAAATTAGGATACACGATCGAGTTACACGCAATCGCAATCGCGCATTGAAGTATAATGTAATTACTATGGCACGGCATTTTGCAGTTATAAATTATACTTTCGATGCCGCATCATCATAAGAAACATGTTTTTACAAGTTACATTAACAAGTTACATTAAATCATTTGGGACGCGTAAAGCAGTATCAGCATAATATATTTTATTATATTCGGTATGTTGTGTGTTTATGTGGTATTGTTTGGATGTCCGTGGTTTCCATGGTTTTATACACTATTTACTTGTTCTTGTTTAGTATGTTTTTTATATTCAGATATCTACATTAACGTTTCAAATATCTTCATAAAAAATATATATTTTTCGCAACCGATAAATCAATATGAGCTAAAAGTCGCATTTACCGAGTACCGTAATCGCGGCGGTTGTTAAGGGGGTTACTGTTAAGACGACAAAAGTAATTTTTGAGTACATCTCAAATTTGTCGAATTCGCTAAATAACAATATACAATCGGTCAGTTTACCACACATTTTTATGTCCGCGGAATTCGGTGTTGTGTTAGTTAGAGCGGCTCTTGTTTTGACGACGCAACCGCAGGTTAAATTGAAGACAATTGAATTAATAAAGCAGAACATTTCAAATGTGTCCTTATCGGCCATGGGTTGATTACTTTGCACAACAGAAAAATCTTTTTTCGTTGAAAAAGTCGGCTCTTTCAACAAGTCGCGCAATCGCGGCGGTGGATTTGTATTTTTGATTTACTAGTATGCTTTATATCTATTTTCATTGTTATGAAGTAAAATTGTACTAAACGTGATTTTATATCAGATATCGAGATTTTACTAAAGGCGATAACGAGGTCGCAAGATTGCAAAAATACGTACCAAAATTAAATACATCAGGCAGCTTGTCTCATATTTTTATGTCCACAGATCGCCGTGATATTTGACTGCAGTAATGTTTCTATTTTCACGTAAGAAGTCGCAACCGCGAGTTACGTTGGACACAATTAAATTAATATATAAGGACATTTTAGAATCTCGTAGTTGGCATTTTTTAATATTTTTGGCAACAGGAAATTCATAATACGCTGAAAAGGCGGCTCTATTAACGAGCGCGTGTTCTTGGTGACTGTTACAGACGGCACTGAAAATTTTCGATTTTGAAACCCCCCCTTTGAAAATCCTAGCTGCGCGCCTGCCGATGCTGGTTGTTTTCCTCGGTCTTTGTTAATGGATGAAAAGCCAAATAAATTAATCGCGTTCGGGTCTGCAGTGGGTTTGTCTTCATAACTACGCATAGCATTAGAATGTCGCTATTTCGGCGCAGATGACAATTGAACCTCTTTTACTTCGAAGAGTGATACCCATGGGTGTATGTATATGTTTACGGCTGGAAAATGCCATTAGTGCAAATGTATTTGGGTGCAAATGTACGTGGGTTCATATGTACATGGGTGCAAATGTTCGTGGGCTCAAATGTACATGGGTTTGAATGTTCGCGGGTGCAATCTGTATGTGGGTGCAAAAAATCTGCGGGTGAAATTGTTCATGGCTTCAAATGTCCGTGGGTGTGAAAGTGCGCATGAGCAATTGTCCTGGATGCAAGTTACGGGTACAAATGTACGGTTGCAAATGTACGTGGATTCAAAGATGATCGAACTTAATTCTCCACGCATGCGTGTTTTATACGAATATATATTGAGATGTCAAATGCAATGTGGAATTTCTGAAATATTTGCAGATGAACTTTCTAATTGAGTTTTTGCATTCGGAAATATGGGAATATAGGAATATTTATATATATGGAATATATAAGTGGAAATATTGGTGTATATATATATATATATAAGTGAAATAATGTCTTCTAAAGTTCGATCAAATAAAATAGAGGCTATTAACTTGAACAATTGTGTTCTATAAAAAGGACACCAGGAGTGGGAAAATCATGGTCTATTATTTAGCATTAAATTCACAAATATTTTATATTTTAAACTTTATTTATTATGTTGATTCTTGAACATATCTCGTGTTCTCACATTTTTGTTAATTTGTAAATTTTATCTATTTTCCTATTCTTCAGATTTTTTCATTTTTAGATTTTTTTTCTTCATACAAATAGCACGCCGGCTATGACACACAACGGATTTTATAGAGAGTCGAGTCACAGTACAAAGATCTTTAAACAAAAATTCAATTCTTGCTGATTGTTTCCGTTAGTGTGGCGTGTTCGTATTACGTTAGTATTAACTCTCCCCATATCACACATTTCCACGACGTATTTATGTCTTATGCCACGAGGACGACAATAAATAGTTTTTTTGTCTCGGCCGGGTATTTTATAATCGTCGGCGATTCCTATATTGAAAAGCGGCAATATTAAAATCCTTATATTCCATGTGTGACGTGATTATTTCGCCGTGTATATCGATAATATGTCGGTAAACTATATTTCCGTAAATTCTCCCGCTTCTCGATAGCATCCCTCTGCACATGTACGTTTTGGGCTAGGACGTGCCTTCAGCGTGAAAAACGTGTATTATATGATCATCCCCGACATAGGAAGGAAGTCAACATAAATTTTCGTATAAATAAGAGAGTTAATATGAACAGAATTCCGTATATTATCTGGCCCTATATTGGACGCGAATGCACAAAACTGCAAGTGGTCGCCTGTTGACTCGCATACGTGCTGTCGAATTGCTTGGCAATGATTTTTCAGCCTTCTCTCACCGATTAGAACGCCAAAATACTCTTTTAAATAGCCATGTGTGAAATTTTAGGTGTATTGATATACCAGTAAAATCATTTTACAAGAATGACCGACCATACAAAATGGACTGATTAAAGCAGATGTAAGAGGATTCACTTTGACATTGCAAAATTTACTGATAACTTCGGGTTCATTTTAACTAAGCAAAAATTTTAGCTGAATGATTATTATGAAACGTACTGCTCACAATAAAGAACGGAAAATATTTTGTTTCGAATAATGTTTTCTCGAGTAAAGGGTTCTTAATTAATTGGGACAATAATATTCTTTAAAAAAATATTCAACTGTGAGAATATCGTGTCCATTTTTTGCAGAAAATTCACGAATATTCTCAAATGTTATATTGGCGCTCGAACATACCACATTTTTGTAAATACGTAAAGTTTTTTGAATTCCCTATTTTACGGAGCATATGTAGACGGGTTTATATAATAAGGTACACTGTCAATAAATTGCTTAGATTTCTTTCATTAAAGAAAAAAAATTCAATACCTTCAATGGGTATTGTACCTCATTCGAAAGAAAATATCAAACGAACAAACATAAAATGTAATTATTTTGAACCTCCTGAAGTATGGGCTCCAAGATGGCGCACAACCTGAACTCAGGTTGTGTACCAGGTTAGGGTTCAGGTTGTGTGACATCTTGGTGCGCATACTTCAGGAGTACCAATTTTTTAGATTTTTTCTAATTTTAATTTTTTCTAGGTGACGATTGTTTTCGTCGGTGTCGGTCTGAAATCTTTTTTTTGCCAAGATAGATCGAAACTGCTGGAATACGTGTGTTTTTACTAGTCGTGGTGGCCTAAAAAGCATTTCAAGCTGCGGATAATTGCTAATTATGATACAGAAAAATGATTTTATTTTTTTACATTTCAAAAGGGGGGGGGGGGGGGGCTACGCCACTGGGCGTGTTTCCAGGCCGTAAACATTCATCTCTATGTCCGTATTAATTCTCCCAATATTACACATATCCTAAGACATATGTATGTCATATGCCATGAGTCTTGGTTTTTGATCTAGACCGGAAATTTAAGTTAAGTGAAAAATGAGTTATCATGTGATCGCGGAATCGGAATCGGAAGTTCCAGAGATAATAAAGTAGTGATTACACAAACAATAATTCCTAGATTGAAAAACGGAATTATAAAATACTAAAAATAAAACGATATACCTATAAATTTTGTTCGAAGGAGGCCAACGACAGATTAAAAACTGTATTTTAGGACAATGTAAAATGCAAAATGGAGATCTTCACAAGTTGGCTGTCGAAACTAGGTCATAGCAGTAACGTAGCCACCAGTGGCGTGGAGAACAAAACATGCACTATAATAACGATAAATACGAGAGTGATTTATACATGGTTAACACCGTTTGAATTGCGGATTGTTTCGTGGGTGTGACGTAATCATTTTGCCGTAAACATCTGTAATAAGTCGGTAAACTATATTTATGCATATTCTCCCAGTCGCGATAGTATATATCTGTGCACATGTACGTCTACGCCACGTATTATTTGATCATCCCCGACATAGGAGAAAAGTTAAAATTGAATTTCCATCTCGAAGGAAAATTGAATACTAAGAAAATATATTATATTAAATAATATATTATTAGCTAGACTTCCATCAGACGCAAATGCACAAAACTGCAAGTTGTTGCCTGTTGACTCGCGTGCATATCAAATCGCAATGTAATATGAAACGAATACTTCTATGCTCAAAATAGTAAGTTCAATAACATTTTTGCAGATCGATCGCTTTGCCCTATCTGACAAGACCATGAAGTCCGAAGCATTTCATAAATTTGCTCAAGTTGCTTCAACTACAGGAGCAAATATAATGCAGTTTAGCAACTGTAATCTGACGAGTGAAAAACTGAATGCATTTGCACAGGGAGCCACCGATTTCGGTTTGAAAGTAAGAAGTTAGAATATCGTTGATGAAATTTTTTATATCGAAGGTTCTCTGACATGCCGATATGCTTGCATTATGATGCATAAATTTTTTCTCATTAAGCGCTCATTATTTTGAATGCTCATTTAAATGTTATTATAATTTGCAGAATATATTCTATTCGTTGGGATAACAAAACGTTTAGAAAAAGTTGTCCTTGTATTAATATTATATATTTATTTACAGATCAATTGTTTATTCGAAGACAATACCATGGAGTGCGAAGCATTCCACAAAGTCGCTGAGGTTGCGTCAACCACAAAATCAGACATACTGTTGTTCTGCAACTGCAATCTGACAAGTGAAAAACTAAATGCATTTAGGACGGGAGCCATTCATTGTGACTTGAAAGTAAAACGTTAAAAACTTGTTGTTGTTTTGATAGAATTTGCTAATAATTTGTTTCAATGTGTTTTCAAATTTGAATCGCGCCAGATGAGTTTTTAACATACGATTTATACGAAGATTGATCGTAATAAAGCTTTGTTGCTCAAATCCAATTACCGATTAATTCAAAATGTTTGTTATTTTGACTGAGCGACTTGAATATGCGGCAACAATTCTGAATGAGAGGGAAAAATAAAATATTCAGTTGCGTTCTATATCTTATCTTCAAGTTTCGTATGATTTAGGTATTACTAAGAATAAGAACTTATTCAATGTACAGTTTCGAACAAAATGAAAACTTTTTAAGTGTATCGTTACGTCTTGGATCAATCCATTTATCCTAGAATATAAAAAGCGAAACTGTTGTTAACAGAAAGTGGTTCCCCATCATATAAAACAAAAACGAAGCACTTATGCCAAATCTGAACTTATAAAATTCAGACGAGTTTTATGGCTTTATACAGAAAAATAATATTGATGTATTAGAGTGTACGGAATGTGCAAAATAGTTTGGGGTATTTAGTAGTGCGGAGTAAATTTCCACCTGGATCTATCGAAAAATCTGAATAGGTCCTGTTTTATAATATGTTGGTAAAGATCATGACCTTCTACAATTTTTCTGTGGAACAAGTGTCGGATTAACTATTAGGCAGAGTAGGCTCAAGCTCAGGGGCCACTTAGTGCAATTTCGAACTGTATTCAGTAAACAGTATTTATTTTTTTCACCAATGCTGAAAAGACGTAACGTACATATACGTTAGAAAATAAAATTAGAATAGTATTTCAGTATGAAAGAAGAAGCAAAAACACTGTACTGGTTATCGAGCAGCAACACCCTGGATGGGGTCTAACACAGAATGGAAAATAATAGAAATCCCAAATTAAATATGAATATAGAAACAACATATTTAAACTAATATATATATTTATATATTAGAACCTGTTATTCATTTCATTCAAGTCCTGTTTAAATTTTAAATGTTTGTTCAAGACGTTTTTCAAAACTGACATTAATTAATTTCAAGTGAATAATGCTGGTCGCAATAATTTTCTGTTTACAAAATTGAAAATTGAATAAAGTTAAATAAATAAATTTCCTCAAAATCTGAAAAATTCTACTCTCCAACAACTTGACAAAATTTACTAATTAAAATTATTTGATCAGTTTCTTACCCTAACAATACTTCAATTTTTTTTTTAAATAAAAATTAAAAAATATTAAAGAAATAGATTCAATGGAGTTCTGTGACGATATTGTTAAATAGAAACTCAACGAATAAAAAGGCCTATTGTGATCTTATCGTTTGAATCCGTCCCTATGTGAGCCAAGTGCTGGATTAGCCAGTAAACAAAATAAGCACGTGCCTATGGCACCAAAGTAAGGGGGTACCACAAAAATAGCAGCCATGGCCCAAACCCCCTTTTTTGAAATTTTCGCGATGATCGGAAAAGTCGCTTATAACGCATGCGGTTTGTTGCGAGCCCCGGGGCTCCGTACTTGAGCACTTTGAGACGCTATGGTCGAGGCAATTCATAAATTAGATTTTTTGCAGTCAGAATTAGGTGTTAAAGTTTATCCCAGAATTCGATCAATTCAAAAGTACGCTATTAATTAAATGGGAGAACAATTTTTCAAAAGTAACATCAGTTATTTAATAAGGATGGCCCATGATCTTGAATAAAATTCACGGAGATAATATAAAATATTTAACTTATGTTACTATCATTTACAAAAACTGCCAATATCAGATACTCTCGCACGAAACGATGAAGGTTCACAGTATTGTGAGAAAGTTCATAAATGTTATCGATTTGAGAATGTCAAGTCCCATCTAACCCAACAATCGTAGATATAGATTACCTACGAGCCCTTACGATGGCATTAATTTCTTTAAATGTACTTTCAAGCGTTACAACTTCCACAATAATTCGACTTGTTGGGCAGTTGTAATTTGCGTGTGGAAAAGTAAACCGCTACACAACTGGTCAAATATTATTTTTTTTACTAGGCAGAATATAGAAAAATAAGTTAAAAATCTTAGCAGCTTGGACATTGGGTATATCTTATTGTTCTGCTATCTAAAAGTACTGTCATTTTGAAACTATCCAAATTTTTCTTGTTTCATCGGTTTTGCCAGCTCCAAAGATTGGTAGAAATCTCCTCCATTATGCATGGTATTCTATATGTATATTTTATTCTGAGCAATTGAAACTAACTGTTTTTTTTCCTAATCAAAGTGAATAGCTTTTTATTAATTTTGCAGATCAATCATTTGCACCTGCAAAACGAGGCCATAGACACCGAAGCATTCCATGAATTTTCTCAAGTTGCTTCAACTACAAAAGCAAAGACTGTGTATTTTACCGACTGTAGTCTGACAAGTGAAAACCTGAATGCATTTGCACAGGGGGCGACTGATATTGGCTTAACAGTAAGAAATTAGAATTTGTTGATGAAATACTCTGAATGTCTATCAAAGTACCATAATGAGCGGCATCATTAACTTTTGCATGTTCACATAACAAAAATAGGTAAATGATGTCCATTCAAACGTGCATGTATGAAGTCACACGATCGCTTTCTGCTATTTCCACTCGGGATATCTGATAAAATAATCTTGCTGACTGGCAATAGAATACTGGAAAAACAAAAACATGAATTGTATTTTTTTTATCATAAATGAATATTTTCGGACCGACTGCCCACTTGGTACAAAAATTAAAAAAATATAAAATAAGTTCTACCAACAAACTGCAGATTCCTGATACGCTCTTATATTCACATGAATTGGTGGTTGTGTAATACGTAATAAATTCATCACTGAACTGAGGTTTAGAAATAATTTCAATTATTGTGCGTTTTTATCACAAAACACTTTGAAACAATCAATCCTCAGCTTTTATAATATTGCAATCCGTTCATTCTTTAAAGAGCTTTATCTTGTTGTCTTTGATCCACGACACTACTAACATATTTTATGAAAGTTTTAACATCACAAATTATAAATTTATGCTTCATTAAAGACCATAAAAAGGGATCGATATTAAAGACATTGTAATTAGTATAGACTGCTCTATTACATAAAGAATCGATCTATAACCATGCCGTTTAACCAACCATTTAAAACCTTGGATTATCACTTTTTATAAAGATAGTCATTACAGTTCAAATTTGTATGTGACGATAAAAACAAGTTGGCTGTGGGTTAACCGATATTATTGTGTGAATTTAGATTTATCTCCAAGAAAATTATTCACACATCAGTAAAAAATGCTACACTTATCTACTTCCGGAAAATTAGAAGCATAAGAAATAAAATTTACGTAAGATGCTCCACAAGTGGTTCGTGATCTGGCGGATACATAAATAAAATATATAAAATTGGAATCCACGCTAGTCACGAACGGCCCGCTGAGGTTATAATTAAAAACAAAAAATACAAATTTAACAAATATATATGTGAGGGTTCGGCCAATTCAGCATGGGTTCTATAGATGGAAAAAAAGGTAATAAATAATAGGTACCGCTCGCCTTTTACTATCGAGCGGGGTGAAGTTTGAAAAGTGCGATGTATTTGCGAAATAAAAACTCTGTTTGAGGATAAAAAATATATTTATGGGGGTCTATGCCGCAGTATCAGTGGATTTATTTCAGTGAGCAACGGACCCGAACCAACGCAGGAAACCACTTGCTGCAATGAACCTGATAATTAGGATCATGTTTATGCTAAAACATATACCGAAGAAAGCAAACAAAATTGATACATACACTAAAAAAGAAATAGAAAACAGAGAAAAATGCATTGTCGGAAAGAACGGTGGAGTCAAATTCGTCGATACTGACAGGAAGTCCAAGTTGAGACTTTCTGATGCACTTTTGCAAAAAACTAACAAATGCTATTTTCTAATATTCCTACTTGAAGACTATTTATTTTAGTCTTCATTGTATTTTCATACGATGTATTTATGCGCATTTGAATCCCAACAAGGATCTCCATCAAGTAGCCACTGCTAGTTTAGGAGATACTACAGTTTGAAAGACCTGTTTCTCACAATTGATATTGCCTACCCAATATATTACATCAAGTGTAAAGTAAAGAGATGAAAATTTGATCCAAAATTTTTTTAGTTTTTATTTCACGATTTATTCGCTGGCAGAGCTGAATGTTGTGAATAAATAACATTTTTATTAAAAATTATGATTATTAATAATTTTCAGATCAAACAATTTGTCGTATCAGACAAGACCATGGAATCCGAAGCGTTTCATAAATTTGCTGAAGTTGCCTCAACCATAGGAGCGAATATGGTGCAATTTGGCGACTGTAATCTTACAAGTAAAAAACTGAATGCATTGGCACAGGGAGTTACTGATTTCGGTTTGAAAGTAAGAAGTTGGAATATTGTTGATGAAATTTCTTAATATCTATCAATGTTCAGAATGAATAATACTAGAATGCATTTTATTACATTTTCTTTAAACGCGGGCTTTATACGAGTATTTTATTAAAATATAAAATTCAAAAGGCAAAAAAGACTAGGAACTTATTAATTAGTTTTTTGCATTCGGAAATATTTGCTTGAAGGAATTATAATTAGGTTGAAAAATTACGCTATTTAGAGGACTATTTTGCCTTCCATATAGTGAATAAAATGCTGTCAGAGATACGCACGCTGCATGCCAAACATCTGCAGTAGGTAATTTTTAAATTTCTAAAATTATGTGAGAAATAAAAGTTGTTGAATTATTTTCAAAAATTAGGAATTTTCCAAACGCATCAGACAACTAGATTTTATTTTCACGTCTCCGAGCTTAAAAAAATATCGAGTCGTTTGATCGCAGCTGCCTCACCGAAAAAAGTGAGTTCACAAAAGCGTTTTATTGCTCGAATTCATCTTGTCTAACGATTATAAGTCTTTATGATTTATAATAAATGTTTTATTATGACTCACAAAAGCTTTCAACGCCATAACGCACAAACAAACAACAAAACGATCGAACAATCATAGCTTGGCCTGATTCGATGCGGTGACTTTTCCAACGGAAAATTTTCATCACGCTCGAAGGACGAGCGTTATCGGCACTGTTCTATTATCATATCAAAGAGAAAATCAATACGCAGTCAACTGTATGACACATTTGAGCTTTCCAAGAGAATACCACGTCCAACAGCTGGTAGAATGAGTGAGGTGAAAATATTTTTGTTAGTTCATGACGTTTCGAGAGACCTCATCAGCACGGATTTTAGTTTACGGTCCTCCAGTGACATCTAGCGTATAGTACTCAAAAAGAACTTTCCAATGATATCTAATTTTTGTACAAAATTGGGCCAGATTGCTCATCTGGAACAGGGTAAATAGACATAGTAAGTTTATTTTAGCGGAAGTGTTATTTCCAAACAGAAGTTCGCATTGCATTGAAACATAGACCAATCTCTCAATAAACCAAAGTAAATGTTAAGGAACGAGCATAGTTAGCCGGTATCAAATATTTGCTATGTCTCCAGATATTCGGTGAAAAGGGATTGCGAAAGGGAATAAAAAAAGAAATACATTTCACAGCATGAGTTTTAATATGCCAAGCTAACCGGATCCAGCTGTAAAATGAGTTTGGAGATTTAGAATAAAAATAGAACAATTTTGTTTTAAAAAATAATTTAATATTTCATTCATTGGGTCCTATCAAGGTATTATTATCGGATTATAAAATATGACGAATGAAATTCTCCGCTAAAATATTGTTGGCAAATTCAAATAGTATGAAGTGGTATTACAAAATGCTTTACAACAAACAAACCTAATTTTCAGCACATTATAATCTCCCATTATTTCCAATTGCTTTGTTGTTTTGGTTTCACGACTCCCTGGCAATGCTACGATATTTCATATAAGTTTATACAACGGATATCATCCGATGTTTGAGCAAAGAATTATATATTCCATAACGCAGATTATAAATTCACCGTCATTATTGACGAGAACGTTGATTTGAAATTTGAAACATTGTTAATAATAAAGATTGCTCTATCAGACGAATCAGATGAATATCTCGTTTCAACAGGACAGTTGTTGATGAACATTTTAAATTAAAGTTTATGGGTGAAACTAATTTATACATTTATATACATTTATGGTGGTCTACCCCCATTTGTGGACATAAATTACTGGACGAAAAATAAAATGCAAATAAACTGATATAGAACCGCAGTTTCAGTGGAGTTATTTCAGTAAGCAACAACATCGAGATACCACTAGTGCGAATCAATGGTTTGACGTATGAAAAATATAATTATAAAACATACGCCAAAGCTGGCTAACATGATTCATACACACTGTAAAAAAGAGAAATAATTAAAGACGTAGATGAGTGCAGTGTCAAAAAAGGGATGAAATCAAATTAGCACACACTTTCAGGAAATCCATACCAGTTCCTTCTGAAACATCTTTGCATAGATTACCGAATGTGTTACATCTCAATTCTTTTAAATAATATAATCTCTTGAACACTATGTATTTCATACCTTTCCTGTATATCCATACGTTGTATTTATGCGCCATTCGCCCGAACAGTGCTATGCACAAGCAGCCGTTGTTATGTTAGAAGCTACTAGAGTTTGAAAATATCTGATATTTCACGTTCGGTATTGTCTTTCCAATAAAAAAAAATTTTGCACAATTTAAAAATTTGCGTGTAACACCTTGATATATTGAGCAAATTTTCAAAATCATATTATGACGTAATAATAGATTCAATGAAACTGGTACGAACCCCTTTTTCAAGATTTTCGCGAGGATTGAAGAATTAGCTTAAGACGCTTGCGATTTCCACATGAATAATTTGATATAATCACCGATTGTTTTCGTGAGCGTGACGTATTTAGGTCGTGAACATTGGTATTATGTCAGTGAACTATACTTTTGCAAATTAATTTAGGTATTCCTCTAGGCCAACGGTGCACAACCTGCGGCCGTACGGCCGCATGCGGCCGCATGCGGCCGTTGTGAAAAAATAATGCGGCCGTCCACATACAAAATCCTATGAAAAAAAAAGTTCAAAATATAGGATTTGGCGGCTATGCTGGCGTATATTGAAGCAAAACAAAAGCACTGCAAAAAATGTCAGACGACACGATGCGTCTTAATCTGGATGGTGTATTTGCTGTTGGAGATTTCCCTTCACGGTTCAGATTGATCCGCGTTTCGGCAGCCTAACAACATAGCAAGCTAGCCTAGCAAGGCCAGTTACCCGACTTTGCAAGTTTATCTGCCCACATTCAAGACCAAGGAAGTCAATAAATTGCTACAATTCTTTGCAAACCTTTATAGATTAAATTCATTAAAATATTTGACATTTTATTATACTTTTGGGGACAAGAAAATGGGGGCGACCGGCCCTCCACCCTCCCCGACTTTCGATTTTTTTAAAAATTGTGCAACCATTATGCAACTTGCTCCAATATATCTGCCCAAAAATAGGTCCACCGAAAAGAAAAATTCGTTTAAAATGCGAATATTATACTTCCAAGTAGTCCTACGTACCTCAAAATTGTGAAGATTGCACCTCGCCAGGGTCAAATACGCGGTTATCATGTCATAAAAGCTGAATAAAATTTTCGCAAAGGAGTGAATCCACAACTCTAATTTATACTATAGATAGTCTATAGAAAAACACAATAAATTTTGTTTTGGGGTCGCCGCGACAGATTAAAAATGCTACATTGACAAAATTCCGGAGTCTATGCACGCATTGAGCCCAGTCTAAAACATGCCGTCGTTACTGAAGTTGAATCATTCAATTATTCATTCTTAAATTACCATTGTGCCATACTCGAATTTTTGTCTTGGATTTTACGATGATATATAACAGGAATGGCGAACTTCTTAAACAAGGGGATTTAGAATTTATATTTTTTTTGTTGAAAAGAAGACTGTGTTAATGTGGGTCATAGATATTCAATCAAAGTTTGCATCACCGACAAACTTTCTGTTTCATCTCTGCGACTATTTCGATCAGCTTTAAACCGCATTAAGTTCATAAATAGCCTACTTCCTTGTTATTACACATTTCTGTAATAGTTAATTTAAGTCAATAATATTTTGTTTTTCAAAGGCATTGCATCCGTCGAAAAATAATTGGCAAAGTGCCATCTAGTTCTCATATCCCTCGTATCCCCTGCAGCTGGTTTTATTATCAATTTCTGCTGCTGAAATGTTGTTATACATGTTTCAATTCAGTTCCATTATCTTTGCACCCACGTACATTGGCACCCGTAATTTGCATTCAGGACAATTGCACACATACATTTGCACCCGCAGATTTTTAAACCCACATGCAGATTGTACTCATGAACATTTGCACCCAGGGACTTTTGCACCTGGTTCATTTGTACCTGCGGATATTTGCACCCGCGTAGATTTACTACCACCTACAATTGCACCCATGTAAATTTGCAACCATGAACATTTGTACCCACAGATATTCGCATCTATGGACACTTGCACCCATGAACTTTTGCACCCGCAAACATTCACACCCGTGGATAGCAGTCTTTAAAGTAAAAGAGGTTTTATTATGAATAGTAATGAAGACGACCTCACTGCAAACCAAAACGTGATTAATTTGGATTTCCATCCATTAACACAGATCGAGGAAAACCCTCCGCAACCATATAAACACTATTATGACGTAATAATAAATAGTGGGGAAAGTACTGTAAACAACTTGTTTCATATAACTCATGCTTTCGCCGAGTTTCTATCTTCCTGTTTTTCTCTTATTTAACACTGACTGGATTGATTTATGTATAACCACGTTTTTCGTCATCATCTACTAACCACCGTAAATTGGAATCCGTCTTCATTTCGAATATATATTTATAGTTGGTAATTAAAGTTTGTAATGTAGGTAGGTGCAAATGTCCATTAGTGCTAGTACAAATGTCTGTGGGTGCAAATACCCATGAGTACAAATGTCTGTGGGTGCAAATGCCCATGAGTGCATATGTCTGTGGGTGCAATTATATGTGGGTGCAAATGTACGCGGGTGCAAATGTCAGCAGGTGCAAATGTACAGGGGTGCAAATGTACGTTGGTGTAAATGTCTATGGGTGCAAATGTCAGCAGGTGCAAATGTACAGGGGTGCAAATGTCCGTCACCTTCAGTTCGTAACTGGTGGGTTACTGAAAAATGATGGTGGTTTGTTGTCTCTAATATATAAAGCTATTCGCGGTAAACTATGTTAAATAAATTTTTGATTTAGGCTTTTAAACATTTTCTTTTCAATAAGTTTGTTTCTTATTTTTAGCTATTAATATCATTTTGAATGTATGTAGGCATTAGAACTATTTAAAAAAAATTGCCGTGTGTTTTTGGCGTCGTATCTTATACTTATGAGTATATTGTTCGGCTATGTCGCATAGAACAACAAGATGTACGCGTCAAGGGAGTGGTTTTAAATGTGCAGATACGCTACTCATTTTAGAGAAAGAAAAGTAAAATAATTGTTAAATATCGTTGCAATCTTGTGACTGTTCAGTTTATTTTAAAAAAGCATTTTTTGCGACGAGTACACGTTCTAATATAATTATATTTGCTCATATATTTGCTTTCAAAGTAATAAAAACTAACAAGTTAATTGCTCAATTGTATTTAATAGTTTCATATTTATTTTGCAGATCAATACTTTAAGTCTAGTTGACAAGACCATGGAGTTCGAAGCATTTCATATATTTGCACAAGTTGCCTCAACTGTTGAAACAAGTAAAGTGCAGTTTAGCGGCTGTAATCTTACAAATGTAAAACTGAATGCATTTGCGCAAGGAGCAACTGAATCCAGTTTGAAAGTAAGAACTTGAAATATCATAGTACAGGGGTGGGTAACCTTTTCCGGCTCGCGTGCCAAAATCGGGTAAATTTAACGACAAAATTCTTTCGCATGCCGACCAAAAATAAAAACAACTATTTGCTAATTTCAAAGCAAAAATAAACCTTAAACACGTACAGACAGCTTCACTATTCAGAAAAATATCAATCCGGTAATTAGATTTGCTTACTTTTCTTATTCTATATCAGTCAGACTTCCGCTGCTGCATTACCGCTGATAGAGATTTTACATTGGGTTTATGTTTTGTAACTTTAAATAAAATACCTGAACTCTTTTCAGGCTACTCCTGTTAGAAGACTTAATTAAGTACATAACTGAGACCACAGATTCACAAGCATATGTAGATAAAAACATGGAGAGTAATGCAGTTGTAAAGTTCTTAAGACACGAAATTTTTCGGGAATGTCGTCCCGATCACGAAATAGTTCGTTTTCTGCACTTCTCTCTTGCATTTCCCTCCCTAATCGCTTATATTTCTTTCGAAATCAAGGTATAACTGTAAGTTAGCAAGTAATACTAACCAAAATGATCTGTACAACTTCATAAATCAAACAGAAGTGAAGAAAAGGGTAGCACAGTCTGACTATATTTCTATATTACGTAAGAATGTAGCCAAATGAATGCTGCGCTCCTCCCGATAAAATTTCTGGAGAGTCCACTCATTTGTTACGTCATAATGTATTTTTTTTGTAATCATATGTCATGAAAGTACAAAAAGAGTTTAAATAAATAACGGATTGTTAACAAACGATAATGAATAAACGTACACCTATTTTCAACAGATAATTGAAGAGTCTTGAAACTTTTTATCTGAACGTGAATGATCTCGTTTGCGAGGCCTCGCCCGCGTGCCGAATAAATGGGCTCGCGTGCCAAGTTTAACCTCTTATTCTTCAATTAGTTTTAAAAATTATTCGTATCAGTGTGTGTTTCAATTGTATTCTTCGGTTACAGCACATTTGAACTCACGTACATTTCCACCCATAGATTGTAGCACCCGCATATAGATTGTACCCGCGGACATTTGAAGCCATGTACATTTGAACGCACGAACATTTGCACCCAAGGACGTTTGCATCCATGTACATTTGCACCCACGTACAATTTCACTAATGGACATTTTCGCCCACTTACATTTTTACCAATGAACATCTGCATTCACGGACTTCTGTACTTTTGCAAAAAACACTTTTGCAAAAAACTAACAAATGCGATTTTTGAACACTATTTGTTTTAGTCTCCATTGTATTTTCATACGATGTATTTATGCGCATTTGAATCCCAACAAAGATCTCCATCAAGTAGCCACTGCTAGTTTAGGAGATACTATAGTTTGGAAAGACCTGTTTCTCACAGTTGATATTGCCTACCCAATTTATTACATCAAGTGTAAAATAAAGAGATGGCAATTTTACCCAAGATTTTTTTAGTTTTTATTTCAAGATTTATTCGCTTGAGAGCTGAATGTTGTGAGTAAAAAAATGTGAATAAATAACATCTTTATTAAAAATTATTATACAATTATGTCAAGTAGAACTATGACACGCAACGGTTTTTATAGAGAGTTGAGTCACAGTACAAAAGGGTCGGGCGGAGTTATTATATAACTGTCGGTGAGGGGATGCTAAAGATAATTAAGGATTGAATATGCAAAGTAAAATTCCATGTGTGACGTGTTATTTCGCCGTGTATATCGATAATATGTCGGTGAACTACATTTCCGCAAATTCACCCGCGTTTCGATAGCATCCCTCTGCTCATGTACGTTTTGGGCTTGCACGTGTCCTAAGCGTGAAAACGCGTATTATTTGATCATCTACGACACGGAAGTCAACCTAAATTTCCGTATAAAAAAGCGAAGTGATTATGGAAAGAATATCCTATAAGCTAGCCTTCTATTGGACGCAAATGCTGTCTCACACGTGCTGTCAAATTGCTTGGCATCGCCTCGCTGAAAAGCCAAAAAATACGAATACTAATCAAATCTAATTATCTTCGAGTTGTTTACCACGTATTTTAGGTCCGTAGATTCTCGTTGTAACATAGAGCAGTAACGATTTTATTCTATAATATGTCGACGCAAAGGCGAGCTACGTTGATCAATATTGAATTAATATATATGCACGGTCATTTTAAGTGCCCGTATCGTCATTGGATCAAATGTTTTGCACAAAAGTTGTTATCCTATGGAAAAGTCGGCTATTTTAACCAGTAGTATAATCGTGGCGACGGATTCAGCCGTTGCACTTAAATTAAATATGCGAAAACCTCCTCCATCCTTTTAAAAATCTTGGCTTCGCCCCTAGACACAGACCTTAACATTGGAACGGTTAGAAATGTATTTAACAGCAGATCCGAGGACAATCAAACCCGTCGATCAAAAAACATTCCAACAAGCCATAAGTGGCCATAAATGACCTGTTCAGATGGGGTAGAAATAATTATCAATCTTGTTAACAAGATATAAACAAGAACACACATTAACATCAGATATACCTTTATTCAGATTTGCTAGAATGCTAGTTATTGTAAATGTCAATAACAAACATGATCATGACAGGCCATTTATTGTTATGCATGCTACTTAGTGGGACTACTGGCGTTACTTTGATTGAACAATGCTCTTTCACTATGGCTTGTGTGTCGTTGTAGCTAATCGAAGCAGTTCTTTCACATGGGTTTCAGTCATAACAGATCAATGGTTTGATTTCATGTGAAATTGGCATGCTTTGCCAAAAGTCAATGGCCCCTTCCCCTAAAGCGAATTTTAGTTGGTCTTCCCCAGAAAGATCGATGATCCTATGGATAATATATCACATTTTAATTGCCGCTTGTTTCCACATTTGTACGCTATCGTTGTCAAATTTTATTACTGCCATTATTACTTTTTGTGCAGTTACAGTATTAGCCAAGTCAGTTTTTTAAATAAGTAAACGGATAGCTCGCGGAGCACCTATAGGTTTGGCTCAACGAGATCCTGGACTTCTTTCAAGGAGCACTTTGAGAACCTATGGTCTATGAAACTCGTCAATTAAGTTTTTTGCATTCAGAAGTATTCATGTATTTCAGTTCTAATCAGGTGTTGACATTTATACTAAAATTCGATCAATTTAAATATGCGCTATTAAATAGAACTAAATCCTTTTTCAATAGTTACCTCAACTATTTGAAAATAATCGCTCGTAGAATAAAATTCACTAAAATGTTATACCTTGAAGCACTTTTTATATCCGCGCTCGAAGGGATTGGACTTATGTAACTATCCGGTACAAAAACTGCTAATACCGGTCGTTGAGATATTGTGATTAATACAATATCGTGTAACAAAAGAAGAAGGTTTACAGTATCGCCCGAAAATCCTATTTTAGGATTATATAAATATCATTGATATGATGATGTCAAGTAACAGCTATCGCAACGCTGGTATGGGTCAACTAAACTCCTCGATAAATATTACCTAACGATGAACCATTATGATGACAATATTTTCTTCCAATGCACCTCTAGAGTTTTAGCATTCACAATAATTTTACCACTTGTTTTATTTCATAATTTGTTAGGCAGTAGTAATTTAAGACTGGCGTCTAAAGTCAACCACTCCGCAACTGGTTAAATAGCATTTTTTTATTACTAAGCAGAAATAGGAGCATTCAAAAACAACGACACTTCTATTAAAGCTGTAGTAAAATCAGTTAATTAATTGTCATTTTGAAACTATATAATTTTTTTTTTCTTGTTACATCGGCTATGCCAACTAGAATATCAAGAACAGAGGTTTTAAATTGTGCAAATGCTAAATCTTATTCCGATCGAAGACCTCAAACAATCTTCAAATATGCTATAAATATTCCTCAGCATAGTTTATCAGAGTTCAGTCAGAAACGCATATTTTGCAACGAATGCACATTCATGCACATTACATTTTTAATATGGAATGACAAAGTAACTCTTTTATTAACCTTGCATATGTTCTGCTTCATTCGATATTGTTCAAAACAATTGTTATATCTCCCGCAAGAAAACTTCCTAATTGAATCAATTTATTGCATCAATTTATTGCATTAAAATTCTGAAATTTATGGAGGCTCCCTTCTGATTACGGGATTTTACTTCTTCTAACGTGTACTTACTTTATTCTTCTATGAGTTTTGAAAAATTCAATTATTTTGCAAAGAAATTTGTTTAACCGCTCAACCGTATACATTGTTCAGATAATTGACATTTCTACTTTAAGCCTACTAATCCTGGAAATAAAGGTTTGATTATTAATACATAAGATCATAGTGTTATATTAAAGATAATTAATTTTACAGATCAATGATTTAATCCTATCAGACAGGACCATGGAGATCGAAGCATTTAAAAAATTTGCTCAGGTTGCTTCAACCACAGAAGCAGTGATAGTGTCGTTTATCAACTCTTGTCTAACGAAAGAAAAATTGTACGCATTTGCACGGGAAGCACATGATATAGGCTTAAAAGTAAGTTGGAAGATTGTTGCTTTAAATTTGACGTGCGCTCCAAACAAGTAATTCGTACTTGACATGCGTGTTGATTGCGTCCAATTACTCGTAAATTCGAGATGTTTTGTAAGTTAATAATTAGGATAACAATGTTATGTCAAAAGTATCGTCAACAATATGAAGATCGTGGCCATGACATTCTATGGATTCCTTCAATTTGACTTGATTGATTTAAAGATTGATTCTTTTATTATAAGTTAAATGTTGTGTTAATATGAGGCATGTGATCGCAATTCCACTTCAAATAATGTATTTCAATGTATGGAATTTGTTTTTCTAAAGTGTAAAACGCCTGATTAGACTATTTTGGCAATTGTAATATTTCTGCACCCGTAATCAGCAGCGAGTATTTATAACCGTGCATGTGGAAATTGCCTCAGTAAAATTTCATTGAATGAATTAATAACCCAATACTAGCGCTTTCCGTTTAAATTTCTGCTGGTGTAAAATGATGTTTAAAACTTTCAAATTTTTGTATTACATATCTGTGTCACGTTCTCACGTGTATTTCATTATATTTTTCTGTAGTATTCCGAACTAGGCGAATAAACAAAGCTAAACTTGGGTTCTAGTTCTAGGGATGCCCTACATACAAAAGCCCTAAATACCCCGACATATATAGTTAGACAAACATATAATGAAACGGAAATATTTTTTTGATCAAGTTATCTTCACTCGAATATATACTATTATCAAATGTGAACCAAATTTCAAAAGCAACCCAAATAAAACATTATTCACATAAAATAAATGTATTAATAAATAATCACATACAGTTTTTGC